TGATTTCCCATATTTATTATATAATACCTTTAAATTGCTATGTGAATACTCAAACTCAAAGTCTGTCAATAGCTCTATGATTGCTTATATTATTATGATACTTTTATAGCGTTTTGTACATTTACAGTTCAAAGCAGGCTATAGAACCACATAGGAACACACCGAGGGACATCGAGGCTCAACTACTAAGAGCAAGACTCGAAGAGGAAACCATGACCTAGGAAAGGAAACTAAAATGTCGGCGTAAGATCTAAAACGACGTCGTGACTGCCGTTTCGGGAGGCGTCCAGATTTATCCTGAAGAAGTAGCTACACCGAGGGATGCTTCTGATTGGCTGGATGAAGCATTGTTGTTGAGTTATCTCCCTCTAAAATCCTAATCCAGGGCCTATAAATAGGTCCCTAGGGTTCAGAACCCGGTACCTAATGATTGGAAGCATTAGAGACTTGTTATTATGCCGACATAGTAACTCACCCGAGTTAGAACAAAATAGGCTAGGAGGGAGAATAAAGCGGCGAATCGGCTGCCTAAACCTTATCTTCTCTGCTCTGACCACTTGTTTAAGAGGTCTATTGTGGTCTTCGTTTCGATTGATGAACTTCCAGAAACACATCCTAATGGCAGGTTTGTTCCCTTAGTTGTGAACTCTAGAGGTTCTAGACGTGTAAATTAGTTGTTTGGTATTCAATCTTCCTATCTTTTGTGTTTGATTGCCTCTATGTTGTCTTTTATTAATTTGGACGAGTGCTTAGTCGAACTAGCATCCATTTGTGATACAAGTATCGAAACCGTAGTCGCCTATAACAAGACCAGACATCGCGATTCTATCTAATCGCTCATCGTTTGATCAAACGGCATAACGCCTCCAAGGAGAAACCGATAGGGTCCTCGTCGCTCACTAGTTCGAGTAAATTTTTCGGCACGAGGTGGGAGTAAACGACATAAGAAATCAGCAACCCATATGTTGCCGATATCAAGGACACAGATCTAGGAACTTTAGGGGTAGCTTGACACCTTCATCTTCTGACTTCCTTCACTTGCCCATTAGCTATAGATTTTCTTTTCTGCACTTGTCTTCCTTCACTTGCCAATTAGCTTTAGATTTTCTTTTCTGCACTTTTTTTTTTTTACTTTCCGAAGATACCTCAACTTCCCACATACATTCTCCAAAAATAGAAATCATCTCTCACCGTCATAGTAAGTGGTTGTAAAAGCCATCAACTAATACGATTATGGCCTTCAAGATTAGCACCACTAATTTGACACCAGTACCACCTAGTAGGGGATTACTACAAATTTCCACGAGTAGCACCACTAATTTGCCAGCTACCTGCAAAATAAAGGAACCTCTCTGCAACTTAACCCCACTACCGTGTGCTCTCGCTCCCTCTGTCTGAACTCTCTCATAATAGTTTGTTATTATCATACACATAGTACCCTTAAAACACGTCCTCATCCAACACAAGCATACGGGTTAATTGCATGTTTGGTCACTGAGTTTACCAAAAGGGTTCATGTTTAGTCACTCTAAATATTTAATTCCAATGCTGGTCATTCAAATTAGTAAAACGATCCGTGTTTGGTCACTCTCCGTTAGTCTCTGTCTAACTCTATCAATGAAGTCTGTTATGTGCTGACGTGACTAACACAATCGTCTAGTCAACATTGTTTGACTCACAATAATAAACTCAACCTGCCATATCATCACAACCCACCATGTCAACCTGCCCAACCCAACCATTGAACCTAACCTAACCCAACCCGACCCAACTCTTCATCTTCTTCCCTCAACCCTTCTCTGATAATCTCAACCAAATAACCAATCGCCTCCCCCAACCATTAATTGAAAGTTGAAACCCACCTCTTTCCATTATAGAGACCATCGTTCCCTAGAAGTAGAAGAACTACTTCAAACCGCAAATCTCATCCCTATCCCAGATTCAGAACCTGCCGGCAGTCAAAAGCGGAGACGTAGAATCAATCTCCCACTCTCCCTCAGGTTAGATCCCATACCCAGAAACACTCCACCGCGGCAGGGGTCAGCCAGCAGCAGTCCCTCATTCCAGTTCGCGTCCCATAGCATGCGTCGCTTCGATTTCAGATCTAGAAACTGAAGACCCAAAGTCCCTGGCCGCCGAGAAAGCTAGAAACGACGACGGCGACAAAATCACACACTTAAAGCTCATAATCCTCATGTGTTCTCTGGGTTGGAATATTGTGGACGAAGGAGAAGGAAAGGAGTCGTCCTTTCTGTAACACCCTACCCTATACGTATTACCTAATCATATTCTTCATACAATTACAGCGGAAATAATCTCGGGTGTTACATTAATTACAAAATTTACCCAATTAAAATTTCGACATGAATTACTCGCGTCATGGGCTAACAGTTCTTGCAACTTATCCTGCAAAATAATTCATCACAAACAAATATACTCACAATCATATGCATTGGCTTTTCTTAGCCATAGTCACACTTTTCATACTCCACAACTGCATACCATACTTATACATATCATAATCGTCACAACTTACACAGTTACACAACATATACACATATCATCAACTTTCCACACCTGTGGATATCTCACACTACATCAGAAGCTAGTATGCACATGAAAACCGTTCTCAAAACATTTTTTTACACAAAGGTGTGGATCACTGGCCAAAATCCCAAGTAGTCGTCCAAGCACAGAATAGTTGAAGACCATACCTCATCCTGGCTTCAACTCTAGCTCCTCTCCCACCTAACACTTATCTATTGCTGCTGCTGATGATCTGCTTACACATGGCATAAGAAGAGAAGAAGAATAAAAGAGGGTCAGCTCATGGCTGATTGAGACAATCATTGCATCGTGAGTTAACAACAAAACATACCCCTACCATACATCTAGCAATCAAGCCAAAACACTAGGATCTGACCTCAGCCATCCTCATGTCCCAATGGGCAAAAGACTCAACCACCTTGACTTATGCATATGCATCTTATCATGTCTTAATCATAGGCGCCTGGCTACTCCCATGCTAATAACTCTCCCGGGAAATATACCCCACATCCCGTCGGATGTAGTCATACATACCCCAACATCTCATCGGATGTGGTCGTACATACCCCACACCACTATGGGTGTAGTCATACCCCGACACAGCTCTGGGTGTGGTTATATCTCGTAACAAATCTTCAGTCACCACCACATGAGAGGTGTGACTATCATACATATCCTAATAGAGTAATAGCATAGGGAGCCCTAATTACTATGTAGTTGACCGTGAGACCAAAGTACTCTTACTTGATATCCTTATACACGATCCATATCTCATCTTGCTTAATCATAATTCATTACTTGGACATATTCTTGACCTGGCCACAATTGGCTCAACATAACCAGGATTCGTATAATTGCACTTCCTCGGGATAAACCCTCGTGCAAGTCATCCTCCTTAAACATCATAATATCACCCTGGGAAGTTTATTTCCCCCACTTGTGAATCCAAATACAACCACAATATCACATCATGTCAAAACACCTGATCGAACAACCATGAAGTCATATCAACAATTAAGCCACAAATGGCAACATGTATGCAATCATCAGCATAAACAAGGTCCATATTGATTAGGGCAAGTCAATAATATCATACAGCAGTCCAGGGTTCAACATATAGCACAAAAGTTCATACACCCCTAATCATGACATTCTAGTTCACCTAGGTCAATTCTAAGCATCAATATAATTATCGTGATACGACAAACCCGATATGCCATGCTAATCCCTCACCAGTTCTGGTCGTTCAAACACCGGTTCTAGCCTCCCGAACTAAACTTAACTTTTCTCAAACAAACTCAGAATCAAAATTCGAGATTGTTCTAATATCCCTTGCAGTATCCCCGTCAATGTTAGTTCTAGGCTCCGGGTGAAATTCTCGATAAAAACACATCAAACCCTGGCCGGAGCTAAATTCAGCGACTTGGACCCCAACCTAAATAATTGCCAAAATTCAGGGATTAGAACTAGAGGATTGATTACCTCGCTGCAGGAATCTCGTATATGAAATCTGGGCTCAATCCGGCTTTCGGATACTCCAAAGCCCTAATTTGGCTTATCAGGAATTCAAGAAATTCCTGAACCAAAATTTCGTTTAAAGCTCTAAATCAATAAATCACGATTTATAGATGATTAGGCATTACTTACGGGATTTTTGGATTGCTAAAGTTCAAGAATCGAGCTGTGAAAATTTTCCCAGGAGCTCCGTGCGCGGCTCTGCTTCTCTGTTTCTCTCAACTGGAAATAAAAGAAGAAGAAATGGAGGAGAAAGTAATTGGACAGGGGAAAGGAAGGATTATATAGGTGGTCTGTGACCGCCTACTATATATATATAATTATATATGGTGGCGTTTTCGGTGCACCCACTTTTTTGGGTCACTGAACGCACTCACTTTCTGATTTAATCTTGACCCTTCAATATATCAAACAATTGAGAATAATTAATAAATTTCTAATTAATTATTAACTAAAAAAGAATATAATATTTATGAAAAGAATTTATAGTTACTGGTAATGCCATTAAGGACCAAATAGTAACTCATCCCGCAAATTCTTATTTCTTCCTATAACTGCCGCTCTCACCAAAACATAAGATCAATTGGCCCGGCGGCGGCCGTGATCGTGCGGTGACTCCGACTCCGACAACTGAGAAAAAGCCTCTGTCAAGCTTGAGTTCTCACCAATCGCTACACAAGTCAAGATATCATTCACCAATTCATTACTTTTTTTCGCTGGTCTCCTCCTTCATTGTTCTATCTCTCGATTCTCGACGCAAGCCCGCAAGCGTTAGCAGGCTGCTACCGGCGTTAGTGGGGACAAACCATCGCTTTTGAAATTTCTTCTCTCTGAATTTCATGCCCGGATGGCGCTTAATTATTTCCCTCGTTCATACGTCTAAGTGTTAAATAAATGTATGTATATATAGCAATCCCAAACAGGTGATGTTTGTTAAAGTCGTCGGCGGAGGTAATTTTGAGCAGAGCATAACTAATCCATCACGCAAGGACTCATTCCAGTTCTATTTAATCCGGCACTTTCCTCCATTTTTAACGGAATTTGGTATGGCCTCATGTATGCTTTCTTGCCGATCCGTTCTCCGGGATCCACGTCAGGATCATGCCTGTCATCTACAGGCGTTCGCCGGCGGCAACATCGAAGCTTCTTGCTCGTCGTCGACTCCAACATTGAAAATGGATGGTTGTAGAAGGGGTGTATGGTCGGAGAAACCAAGAAGTTTGTTCTCAGTTTTCGGAGTCGACGTCGCCTGTCACACTGAGATCGCGGCCGCCGCCAGTCCAATTGATCTTCAGTTTTGGTGAGCTCGACACTGTTTGTTGTGATGGGAAGAAATCAGAATTTGGGGAATGAGTTACTATTAGGTCCTTAATTGCAATTACCAGTAACTATAAATTCTTTTAATAAATATTGTATTCTTTATTAGTTATTAATAAATTACAAATATATTAATTATTCTCAACAGTTGGATATATTGAAGGGTCAAGATTAAACCGTTGGATATATATATAATTAATACGTAACTTATCCGATCGATTGATAATCCGATTTTTGCCGAAATACTATCAAAATGCTCGATTTTAAATTGCGAACTTTCTAGCGATCGAAATATGGATTTAGCCGAAATGGGATGTTACAATTCTCCCCTCCTTAAACGATTTCGTCCCCGAAATCTAACCTTGAGTCATACCCTTAGTCGGCTTACTTACCGTTGACATGGTCTATCGTAGATAAACCATTACCTAACTCTTAGGTTAGGAGATATGAAGTACATAAATAAACACATAACACCTCAAGTTCCCATGTTTAGGTTTCAAAAACCTATACTGGGCTATCACAACAAAAGCACATCAGCAAGTTCAAAACATAACTTATTAAGCAAGATTGTTAACCTGCAAAGTATGTCGCTATCAACTCAGGCTACGTCTCTCGCATACTTGCTTCAGTCTCCCAGGTAGCACTCTCACTTTCTTGATTCCTCCACACAACCTTCAACATTGGAATTTCCTTCCTACGAAGAGTCTTAATCTGAAAATCAACAATCTCAACTGGAACCTCTTCAAATGTCAAATATGGACCCAACTCGATATCTTCTGGTTGTATAACATGGGAAGGATCCACTTTGTACCTCTTCAACATACTAACATGAAATACATTGTGGATTTGGGATATCTCTGGAGGCAATGCTAGTTTATATGCCACTGGTCCAATCTTCTCTGTGATTTGATAGGGTCCAATATACCGAGGTGCAAGTTTCCCTTTCTTACCAAATCTCATTACGCCTTTCCAGGGTGACACTTTGAGAAATACTTTCTCACCCACTTCGAAATTAACTTCACGCCTATTTGTGTCAACATAAACTTTCTGTCGATCTTGAGCCACCCTCAAATGCTCCCTAATTTCCTTGACCTTATCAATTGTGATATGAACCATCTCTTGCCCTGAGATTTGCCTTGCTCCTTCTACATCCCAACATAATGGTGTTCTACACTTCCTCCCATAAAGTGCTTCATATGGTGGAACACTCAAGCTACTATGGTACTGGTTGTTGTAAGCAAACACAATGAGGGGCAAATGGTCAATCCATGACTCCTCCCATTGCATTACACATGATCGAAGCAACTCCTCCAAGGTAAGGATGGTTCGTTCACTCTGTCCATCAGTTTGAGGATGATAAGCTGATGTAAAATGCAATTTAGTTCCCAAAGCATCATGTAAACTTTTCCAAAACGAGATGTGAAGCTTGGGTCTCGATCAGAGACAATAGAAATTGGCACACCATGCAATATGACGATCTCCTTAATATATAGTTGAGACAAAGTCTCCCATGATGGTTTCCGTCTAATGGGTAAAAAGTGAGCCGCTTTAGTCAGTCGGTCCACAATAACCCATACTGCATCTTTTCCCCTTGATGATGGGAGACCATATACAAAATCCATTGTGATTCTTTCCCACTTCTATTCTGAAATTGGAAGTGGTTGTAGTTTTCCCACAGGAGCTTGATGTTCTGCCTTAACTTTCTGACATACCACACATGTGAAAACATGTTTAGCCGCTTCCTTTTTCATCCCATGCCAACAAAAATATGGTTTGATCGTGTGATACATTTTAGTTGCTCATGGGTGCATAGCATAAGCAGAAGAATGAGCTTCATCTAGGATATCTTTCCTCAAGTTATCAATATTAGAAACACATGCTCTTCCATTCATCTTCAACATGCCATCTACCTTTTCAAATGGGCTTTCTTTTCCTTCCTCAATGTCTTGAATGATTTTTGCCAACTCTGGGTCATCCTTCTGCTTCTCACGAATTTTGTCATGCAACAAAGGTCGAATGTTCAACCGAGCTAGTAACCCTGTTACACCATCCACTTCCCAATCCACATTCATTGCCCTCAAATCAACCAGATCATTTATATTCTTCTTCCCCTTTCTGCTTAGGGCATCAACAACTACATTAGCTTTACCTGGATGATAATCAATTGTACAATCATAATCTTTTAGAAGTTCAATCCATCTCCTCTGGCGACTATTTAAATCCTTCTGATCCATAATATACTTCAGGCTTTTGCGATCAATTAGGATTTTAAAAGTCTCACCATACAAATAATGTCTCCAAATCTTGAGAGCAAATACCACCGCTGCCAACTCCAAATCATGAGTGGGATAATTATTTCATGAGGACGCAATTGCCTAGAGGCATATGCGATAACTCTTCCATCTTGCATTAACACACATCCCAATCCTTGATACGAGGCATCACTATACACCACGAACTCTCCGTGGTTTGAAGGTAAAGCCAGTACTAGCGCTGTGGTCAATTTCTTCTTCAGTTCATCAAAACTATTTTGACATGATTCATCCCAAACATACTTGGTATTCTTCCTCAACAATTTAGTCAATGGTGTAGCAATTTTAGAAAATCCTTCTACGAACCGCCGATAGTAACCCGCCATGCCAAGAAAATTTCTCAACTCCGACACATCTTTTGGTGGAGCCCAACTCACCACTGCTTCCACCTTTTTCGGATCCACCTCGACACCTCTTCCAGAAATTACATGTCCCAGAAATATTACCTCCTTGAGCCAAAACTCACATTTTGAGAATTTTGTATATAATTGTTTCTCCCTTAGAATTTGCAATACAATTCTAAGGTAATTTTTGTGCTCCTCTTCGCTTTTAGAATAGATGAGAATATCGTCTATGAACACAATCACAAAATTATCAAGATATTCGTGGAAAACTCTATTCATAAGAGCCATAAATACTGTTGGCGCATTAGTGAGTCCAAAAGGCATTACCAGGAACTCATAATGCCCATATCTTGTTCTAAAAGCTGTCTTTGAGGTTGCTCCATCTGCCACTTTCAGTTGATGGTATCCCGAACTCAAATCAATCTTAGAAAAGACTGATGCACCCTGCAATTGATCAAACAAGTCATCTATTCTTGGGAGGGGATAACGATTCTTCAGTGTTGCTTTATTCAACCTCCAGTAGTCAATGCACATTCTCATGGAGCCATCTTTCTTCTTGACAAACAAAACCGGTGCACCCCAAGGTGAGATGCTAGGTGAATAAACCCCTTGTCTAGCAATTCTTGCAATTGTTCTTTAAGCTGCTTTAGCTCAATTGGTGTCATTCTATATGGTGCCATTGAAATTGGTGTTGTGCTAGGTACCAATTCAATATCAAACTCTACTTCCCTTTCTACTGGAAGGTCGGGAAGTTCTTCGGGGAATACATCAGGAAACTCCCTTACCACCTCTACATCCTCAACCTTCTTATCACTTACAACAGTAACTTGAGCAAGAAAGGCTTCACGACCTTCCTTCACTAATCAAAAAGCTTCCAAGGCCGAAAGAAAACCATGAGTCTTCTTTTTCTTAATGCCTCGGAATACAACAGGACCTTTATCTAGTGTGTTGAATAACACTTCTTTCTTTTGACAATCCACAACAGCTCCATGTGTTGCTAGAAATTCCATCCCAAGGATGACATCGAATTTATCAAAAGGTAGCATAATTAAATATGCTGCTAGGAAAGCTCCTTCCACACAAATGAAGGAACTTCTAATAACTAAATCTACCTTCAAGGTATCTCCCACAGGTGTTTTAACATATAAGGTATAACCTAGCTTATCTGGGACTAACCGTAGCATATGTGCAAACGTATATGACATGAATGAGTGAGAGGAACCAGTATCGATCAAAGCATAAATTTGCTTGCCAAGAATAGAAAGCATACCAGTCACAACTTCTGGTGCCACTTCTGCCTCACCTCGAGTCATTGCATAAACCCTCGGTGCTCCCTGTGCTCTGGTACCTTGTGTACCACTTCCTGATGGATGATTTCGACCACCACCTCTACCACCCTGTGAACCACCACGACCACTCTGAAATCCACTACGGCCTCCCTGGTAACCACCCCTGAATGGGGCTCTACTAAATTGCACTGAAGGCTCGGACTGTGTAGCTCTTACTTCTCTCAAATGCGGACAGTCCCTCATGATGTGCCTAGGTTGGCCACAGTGAAAGCATACACTAGAAAATCTCCTACACTCTCCAAGATGCCTCTTCTGACAAACTTGAGAAAATGGAAATTGTGTGCCTGAGGAAATTGGTGCCCTGTATGATGTTCCCGACATAGATTGACTCGGTGTTCTCCCAAAACTGCTAGGACCTCTCCTGGCTGGGTAACGAGGTCCAGCATAATTTACTCCAAACTTCCTCTTCTTCTCCTCTTCTTTGGCCTTGTTTTCCTCTCTACCCTCAACTTCATAGGCTTCATACTTAAGTGTTGCCTCCTTGATAGTGGCCATGCTCTCTTCATCAACCCTATGGATCTTTTCTTTCAATCCTAGGCGCAGACCATGCAAGTATCTCATCTTCTTCTTATGCTTAGTATCCGCCAACCCATCTTCAAAGTAGAGTAGTCGAACAAACTTGATGGTGTACTTAGTAACTGTCATATTCTCTTGCTTAAGGTTGGAGAATTCATTATTCTTTGCCCTGATAAAAGCTTCAGGAAGAAACTCTGTCTTAAAGGCCTTCAGGAACTCCTCCCAGGCGAACTGAACTCGTTCACCATTAACTAAAGAGACTGAGGACCACCAGCTCCTAGCGTACCCCTTTAAGAGAAAAACAACATATTGCACTTTTTCCTCTGGGGTTGCATAAAGATACTCAAACACATCTTCCATCTCTCTCAACCACTCTATTATAGCATCTAGGCTCACATCTCCCTTGAAGTCCCTACCACCCAAACTCTTCATCTTTGCATAGTCTAATACTGGCGGTCTTGCATCAACCGCCCCCACTTCTCGACTGGTCAGTAGGAACATTTTCACAACTTCCGTGTGAGCTACAAGGAAATATTGGCCTTAGATTGATCCACACAAAATTCATTCTTCACCCACTCTCTCAC